GTAAAATAATTTAACTTTTTGACCTCTCCTGAATGGCTGAGGGCCTCCCACACCTCTGTAGTCAAGGTATTACAATCACATCTACACGCACGCATGTGCATACTTGGGTACATAATGTCGTGGGATGATTTGGTGATTTCAGGCATGATTTATAAATCGCTGATGATATAATCACACACTAAGATACATTCATGACTGGAAAAGTTGTCATAGAGATTGGTTTTTCTATCTTCTGTCTTTAAAATATTAACAGGGGAAGTGAAAGTTTTTTAAATAAAATTTTTAAAACACCAAACACAACTCTGTTAAAAATAGATAGGTGATAGTACCTGGAAATTGGTACCTTAAATGTTATTTAGAAGAAGACCCTCCCTTCACTAAAGCAGAATAAAAATAAGTACATTGATAGTAAAAGAGAACAGTCAAATTTATTCCAGAATGAGTCTTAAACTCTTTTATTCTACAATTTTGTAAGTTAAAAATCTGTTCAAATCAAAAGAGTTGGCTGGGTGTGGTGGCTGTAATCCCAGCACTTTGGCAGGCTGAGGTGGGATGACTGTTTGAGGTCAGGAGTTCAAAACCAGCCTGGGCAACATAATGAATCTCTATCTTTACAAAAAGTAAGAAAAATTAGCTAGATGTGGTACACACCTGTAGTTCCAGCTACCTGAAAGACTGAGGCAGGAGGATCACTTAAGCCCAGGTGTGAGGCTGCAGTGAGCTTTGCACTCTAGCCTGGGTGACAAAGCAAGACTCTTTCTCAAAAAGAAAAAAAAATCATAGCAGGACATGGTGGCTCAAGCCTATATAATCTTAGCACACTGGGAGGCCAAGAAGGGAGAATCACTTGAGCTCAGGAGTTGAGAACCTGAGCAACAGCAAGACCCCATCTCTACTAAAAATAGAAAAACTAGATGGGCACTTTGGTGGGTGCCTGTAGTCCCAGCTACTCAGGAGGCTGAAGCAAGAGGATGGCTTGAGCCCAACAGTTTGAGATTGCTATGAGCTATGACACCATGACACTGTACTCAGACAGAGTAAGACTCTGTCTCAAAAAAAAAAAAATCATGAAAGTTATCTTTAATTAATGGATTGCTGTCACCACCCTGTAATATATTGTGCTAAAGTTCATTGGTGCACTTTGAGCAGGGAGCAAGTAGATGACAGCAATAATTAAAAAGAAAACAACTTGCTGACTAGTAGCTTCAATGTACTTTGGCCTCTGTTAAAAATAAAATATTTTCAACTTGTAACACATTCCCATTATTTATAATATTTCAACCATTACTCTTTATTGTCCCCTCCTGATAGCTTTCTCCTGGAGTCCTGAAACAAAAACACTCTCCTCATTGAACCAGAGTTTAGCTCGGCAAAGCTTGAAAACAAGAACTCTAATTCTCCACCACAATTCCTAGGCTTCCCTTATTTCCACTATTCTCATTATTTTAACAAAAATGTTTTTGTTTTTACTTACATTTAAATTCATCAGATATTGTTCTCACCAGAACACTAATATTTTGGGCAGGCATATGGCCATGAGTATACAATCATTTAAAATAATCATCTCCCCAGTGGTTATGAAAATAAAGTCCCTGGAACCCATGGCGGATATAGACCTACTCTCAAAAGTCCATAATCCCCCTAAGAGAAATTGTGGTTTGGGTTTTCATTAATAGAAGAGACCTACAGTTAGCGCGTGCCATGTGGATAATCACTTAGAGTTATGTATTACCACATTTGCACTTAAAATTTGGGTTATAGAAAGTAGTGGTCTCTCACTCTTTAAATCTGGTATTTCTTAAATTAGAGTATATAAACCTCTTCTCTGAAATCTGAGAGTTCCCTGGTTTGAGCATTCCAGGAGAATGGTGGATATGGTTCTGAATCTGATGAACTGAAGCTAGAGGAAGTGTCATTTGAAACTAGGAAAAGCCCAGCCTATGTGACTGTCATAAGAGACCTTAAAAAGCAAGTGATTCACTTACACACACATGTCAAATGACCAAAAGAGAACACAGTTTTGTTTACTGCTGACTAAAGGCTCAGCCTTTTCAATTCTCCTGTTGACCTGCCTTTATGTGGTAGTTAATTTTAAATGTCAACTTGACTAGGAGGAATACCAAGAGAACTGATAAAGCACGACTTCTGGATGTATCTGAGCAGGTGTTTTCAGATGTGTGATTATATACAGATTCATGGGCTTTCACAAATGATTTGTCTGGATAGGACTTGGAATGAACATAATTGGAAAACTCATGACAAAGAAATTCATGACCTATTCCTATTTGGGAAATAGGTCTTTGAATAGACTCTCTGAGTGGGCAAAAGATGTGAAATTATTTGTTGTGTCCTATATGAATGTTCACCAAAGGATGGTCTCAACAGAGAAGGACTTAAGTAGTAAAGTGGATGGGATGACTTGTTCTGTGGATACCAGTGAACCTCTCTGCCCAGTCAGCACTTTCATCACTTGGTGAGCTCATTTACAAAGTGGCCATGACAGTAGGGATGGAGGTTATGCAAGGGCTCAATGCCATGGACTCACCAAGGTAGACCTAGTTATGGCCACTGCTGAGTTCTCAACCTGCCATCGTTAGGGACCAACACTGAGCCCCCAGTATAATTTCATTCCCCAGGGTGATCGACCAGCTATTGACAGGTTGATCACAATGGACCACATCCATCAGGGAAGGGGCAATGCCTTGCACTTACTGGAATAGACAGTTACTTTGGATATGGATTTGCCTTTCTTGCACACAACGTTTCTGCCAAATTACCTTCCGCACACTAACTCAATGTCTTATTCATCATCGTAGCATTCTATACAGCATTGCTTCTAACCAAGAAACTCACTTGACAGACAGAAAAGGGCAGCAGTGAGCTCCTGTTCATGGAATTCATTGACCTTACTATGCTCTGTGAAGCAGCTGGCTTGATAGAAGGATGGAACAGCCTTTTGATGTTGCAGTTACAGCACCCCCTAGGTGACAATACTTTGCAAAGCTGAACCAAGGTGCTCCAGAAGGCTGTGTGTGCTC